GTGTTTATCGATTTTGGTATTCATTTTGATTTAGGGAAAAGTTTCAGGCTGAGGTGGTTTAACCAACTAGATTCGAAAATCAACCGGCTGCTGTTCGGCGAGGGAGGAGAAGCTCTTGGAGATGCACGATTCACAGTATGCTGGTACTACTGAGGGAAAGCATTGGTTCATAACAATTGCATATTCTTTGATTTCGGTATGTGTTTCTTTTTACAATCAGAATTTTCTTTAGGTATATTTCATTTTTTTAAATATTAGTGTAATTACTACATTTGTTGCGATTGAAAAGGCCGTCTAACTCATCTTGCACGAAAAAGAAAAAGAAAAAGTTACACTGTTTGTTCATTTGATTCTTTATGGAGAGTAAGCTCATGTTTGAGTACAAGCATGAAGGCATTGATTACAGATCCAAAGAGCAACCTGATTATGGTTAATTATATCGAGGTAGTTGTCTACTCCAAGGATGACAATAAGATGAAAGTGAGACTCTCTTGCCTGTCTCTAATCATTTTATTTATTGGCTAACTAATATCGTAAATTGAGGACTTCCATGTTGTTACCAGATAACGAATAAAATTATTACAGTCAATGCATAATTTTTTGAGGCTGCATTTAAATATTTCGAAACTTTTGTTAGTTATCAAATGTGCAATAACATGAATTCAACTGTATGTTTCTCTTATATTTGTTTTTTACATGGAATGAGATTCTTGATTGCGGTTATAATGAGGAAAAGTGTGGATTGCCCTAGATTAATGGCGTGTATTTGTTTAAGGAACATTCGGACTCTGAATTCATAAGATGTAGTTTTATGAGGTTTAATTGCAAATGCACTATTTGAATTCTCTGGACAAAAACTTCCTGTGGATCCTTTAGTATTTGTCTTGTGTCAGTTAAGGGTGAATGTGTCAGGGGAAGACACACATATAGTGTTTGAGAAGATACTGAGAAATTTAGCATACACGGCTCCACCAGTTCTAGGTTTTCACAGGGAAAAATGAGGTGTTTTTTTTTTCTACGGTTAGTGGGACCATACAAAATTTTGTTAGTAAGTGCTCTTATCATGAATTTGATTATGTAGTTCTCGCATTTGATACCTTTACCCGAAGTGTCATTGTTCTTGCAGTGAGCACACCAAGAACTCTCTCGTGGAATATACAACCTCCCATTTGAAACATAAGAAGTTCACAACAAATTTTGAGGCGGTTTGACTTCTTCGAGCGGGAGGATTCTGGTCCAGAGCATTTCAAGTTAGTTTTCTTGATTGACCTTACTTTGATTTTCCTTGGCATAAATTGTTGGCATTATATGATTAACACAACAAATAAATTGTGTGTTTCTGTATACACATATGTATATGTACTTCCTTTATTTCCGTCTACTTTATTAAGAATAAATACTTGGTTTGAAGGATCCGCAAAAGCTTGGTCGGTGATCTTGCTAGAGATTTACAAGTTCCCTTATGGTGCTTCATGGAAACATTTTAGCTCCTTATGTAAGTATACAACCTTAATGTCCCCCACGTGCTGGGTTGCATCTGATCTGTCTGAAAGATATTTTTGGCTTCATTTATGTCCATTTCCTCCTTCTATTCCTTTTGTTTTACACTGATAAGAATGGTCTTCACAAAAATGTGTTCTCTCATCTTATAAATAGTTATTTCAATTCCATTATGTGGTTGATTTGTTCAGGATATTGGTGAAGATGAAAGCGAATCACAACTTTGAGTGTGCATCGTAGTCTGAAACGGATGATTAAAATGATGCAAGTAATGGGAGAATTGCTATAAAGACGACATTTAGGTCTTCGGTTGAGGGTGCCTTGCTCAATGCTAATCTCGCTCAGGTTTGTGTGTGTGAAATTGGTTTGTGTTTATTTTTAAATTATATATATGTTTGTGAGGACCTTTATATTGAATGTTTCTTTATATTGCTCGACTTTTATATTGAGGGATTCTTTTTAGTTAAAGAAAAATGTTAAAAAAATATTGAACATATTTTGAAGGTAATTAATGTAGGATAAATATATAATGAAAAGTATAAAATAACGAATGATAATTATAAATATATGCTGATGAATAAGAAAATATGTATAACGAATGATTTTTATTTTGAAAATTATATTAATAAAATTAAATGTCGAATAAGATGAATGAACTAGATAACTCTCTGTTAGACTACTTGAAAGAAAAATTAACCTTTGGTATTCTAAACGATAGATGATATGTGATTATGCATTTGTTTATGACATCCTTTCAGTTTTCAGTTTTCTAATATCCTGTTCCTTCAAATTGATTTCATAGGCAAAAGGCTTTGGAATTTGTTCCATTTCCAGCCTATGTGTGATCAAAATATATGTATAATATGGTCAGGTTAGTTATTTTGCATCTGATTTTGTTTTTAACTAGTAACAAGATCATGGATTCCTAATTGCTTATTTACTATATGTTTAAATATTTAAATAGGGAGAAGTGCAATATTTGATTGGGGTGCTAGGTGGAAGTCAACATGTTGAGTCTCTTCATAACTAAAACTTAGAATTTGACTCAACCTGTAGAAACCAGAGGACTTGTGGAAAAGACATTCAAAAGTTGTACACCCAAAGCCCCACATAAGTAGGACATGAGGTTAGCTACTTAAAGCTAAAAAAAAAATTACAAAATTGTTTTTGGTGGATTCTTTTGTGAATTTGTGAAGCCTTTAGTGCTTTTCCTGTGTAATTGTTTGTAGAAATTGAGCCAAATTGTGACTTCATTATTAATCAGCTAAAGATATTGTTGGGTGCAAGACTTTACAATAAGCATCTAATTTTGTTGTAACTTAATTATTTGCAATTTTAACGGATTCTCATGCCATTTTAGAGAGGACACATTGAGGCGGTAAATGACGAGGCCACTTTAGTCGTGCTAAGAGTTGGTGGTGCTGATTATGAAATGAAGGAAAAAAAATTATGCAAGGTGAGATGCCACAACTTTTTGAATGAAAAAAACATTGTTGAAGGGTCGGCTTGCATGAAGGAGTTGCTTTCAGAGTTCAAATTTTGTGAAAGTTAATGTTGATATATTAGGTGGATAATTATCTCTTGATTTTGAACGCAACTGTAGGATTTAAATTGAACCAAACACTTTTTTACATTGCATATCAGGGATATTTTGTCATTTGTTAGATGGTTGCCTTTATGATGGATTATTATTATGTAATTTTGATACTCTTTGAGACGCAACCAAATGTATGTATATGTAGTCTAATGAGGCGAGAGAAAATGTATGGATGAGATTTGACACATTTTACACTGTAATTTTTTTAAGCAACAAAAAAGCAAAATATATTTGAGGATTATCGACTAAACTTGGGTACGCACAGCCGAAAGCCCACTAGTCTTACATATAAGTAAAAGTGTGAGGTGTTGTATGCCTGACACGTGGCGATTTTTTTCGGCCATAAATGCCCATGGCTTTCAACTCTTTTTTACAGATGATGCCACTACATTGACCGTCTTATCGCACTGTATGGGTAGGCTTTTGTAACCTACTCCTGCACACGTTTTGTCATTAGTCAAAAAGCAACCCGAAAAGAATGGCTTTCGCGCATGTCCTCATTTTCTCGCCCATTTTCCTCTTCTCTCTTCAGTCCCAATCTGAAAACTCTCAATTGCCATATCTCGGCTCAGCTTTGAGCCGTCGATGGACGCACCGACCCTTTTCACACGGTCCGCCAATCCTTTCGATGAGCCGACTGATTGGTACCGCCGAGCGGCTAGGGTTCAAGCTGAGCAACGGCTCTTTCGGGCTAATTTTCTGCTGCTGATACTTTTTGTATTTACTTTTTACTTTTTTTTCCTGTAAATTTCTCCAATAATTCTAAGTTTTATTTCCTTCTTTTTTGTGGGCTCGGGAGTCTTACGTAAGATGACTGCAAGTTGCTGGGGAATTTGTTCAATGGTGCTCTTCAGAGAGAGAGAGGTCGGGCCTGAGTTCATGGAGAAGCTCGAGAAGAGCCGAGTACTAGCTCAGGTTTCAGGTTGTGGTCAGGCTGACGCTTGACGAGCGATGAAATAGGGCACGACATGATACTCCCAAATGAAAGCTTTTGTGATGTAGGAAAGCGTACGAATGAGAAAGATAAAAAAACGAGATACTCTCTCGATAAAACTCACAATATCATTTTTCATTCCATAATCAACTAATCGTCACACAGCAGAAGAACTCTTTAAATAAACCCTTCCAACTAAAACGTAACTTATTCTCTAAGCAGCTGCTGCTGCTGCTACTACTACTAATAATAATAATAATAATAATAATAATAATAATATTTATTCTGCATCATTCTCCCCCAGTTGAGTAGGATTCGCCCTCGAATCCGACACGTTCCCGATGGAGCCGTCCCCATGACAGGAATAGCCCGAAAGTTTCCCCCGATCGAACACGAATGTTGATGGTCGCCCCACATCCCCGAAGGTAGCCATAATCTTGCGCAAGTCCTTCATACGAAACATACCACATCGTTCGTCACGCCCAAATCCATAAATACGGCCAAACATCTCGTTGTTGGGAGACTTCGGGATAGATAGTCGGAAAATAGCCAACCAGTTAGTAAGCCTCGGTTTCGGCTCCCAAAAACCATCTTTAGCCAAAATACTCAAAAAATCGAGAGTGAATGAAGACTTCCCATTCGAAGACTCAACAATTGCGATGTCCCACGCGGGATCCATATTGCGACAAAAAGATGTATCCGTCACCGAGTGCTCCTCATAAAAAATGGACAGATCGTCGTAGATATCACACGTGTCGGGCTCGAAATCCGGGGAATCGTTAAATTCGAAGTCAAAGCTTGTTAGTGGCTGGTCAGGCCCAAAATAAGGACGAAATGCATCCCTCCCCTGGTCCCAATAAATGGAATTGGGCCGTCCTTGTGCAGGCCCAAAATTGGGAAACAAATCACGAACCCTCGTGCTGCGTCTCTGCTCATCGCCGCAATACTCTCGATCTCTCCAATCCCGACGCTGTACTTCTGCAATTCCGGCGTCGGTCCAGCGACGGTTGCGCCCAGGACCATCGGACCATCCATCTGCGGTGAGTCGACCGTCAACTGCCCAGGCCGCCTCACGACCTCCGTCAGGCCTCCGTTGTCCGCGTGGCCGGAATTTGCCTAGGGTTTCGTCGTCCCTCCAGGCGGCGCGACTATGGTAGTCGCCGGCGTCTTCAGCGATGCGCCGCCCATCGCGACCCCAACCCGCCTCAGCACGCCGGAAAGTTTTCCTCCTGTCAGCAAAAAAATGCAACTCGTCAAAAGCAGGCGTCCCCATTCGCCGTCGATATGCGCCGCCGTCGCCGGCTGCCTCGCACCCGTCGTCCCAGTGGCGGCGTGGCAGATCGAACCCAGTGAAGGCTGTGCCCTCGCGATCGAGTTCCCGTCTGCGAAAGTCACGATGCTCGCTGAAGCCTGAAGCAGTTCGCCGAAAAGTGTCATCTAGGGCTGCGCGATTGGGCGAAATTCGGTAACCAAAACCCTCCTCCGACTGTCGCTGGCTCCTCTGATTGTCCTCTGACCAGTCGCCATCCTTGATGCCGTTCAGAGATGGCGGGGATTGCTGCCGGGGCGCCCCGACATGGCTGCGTCCCCCACAGCCGCCTCTGTCTCCCCCGCGAAAGCCACGGCCCACAACTCCATCGCGGTTCGTTTGCAATTCCGAAACAACCATGTTGTTGAGCGTCAAAAGCAAATCCTCGATCCCCGTCGAAAGATCGGCAAACCAATCCATGAAACGCACGTCCTATTGCTCAAATCGGTAGTCGATCTGTTGAAACCGATCGTTGAAGGTGGCGTCACGTTGTTCGTTTGCGCCATCTTGTCGTCCCGGCGGAATCGCGAATCGTACTGACGGCTGATACCAACTGATGTAGGGAAGCGTACGAATGAAAAAGATAAACAAACGAGATACTCTCTCGATAAAACTCACAATCTCATTTTTCATTCCATAATCAACTAATCGTCACACAGCAGAAGAACTCTTTAAATAAACCCTTCCAACTAAACCTAACTTATTCTCTAAGCTGCTACTACTACTACTACTACTACTACTACTACTACTACTACTAATAATAATAATAATAATAATAATAATAATAATATTTATTCTGCATCATTTTGTGAGACATTCTTTCTGTCGATTTATCAATGGCAATGCTAATTATTTGGTGCTATTTTCGTTGAAAAGGATTAAAATTAAAGAGTATAAGTGCAGGTTATGCAGGTTGGAGGAGATGGACTTATGGTTTCTATGAGAAAGTTGTTGGCAAATGTTGATTTATCGTAAGAAAAAAGCATAAGTGTTGTTCGAGGAAGAGCTCATTTCTGTCTGCTGATAGGTTTCATCAAAATGCTGCTTGGTTTGTTTCCCTAGCTAAAGTTCAATTATACCAGCTTTTGCAATTACTATTTGGTTTTATCTGTGATTTTTTATTGAATATGTGATCTACTTAGGTATTTTTGATGAAATGTTCGGTGATGTACCACCAGCCGCCGGACGAACCACCCAAGGTTCATCGTGGCTGCGGCCGTTGCCTGAAGGGATAGGCCGCCGGAAATTCCAAAAGCAGCTGAAGCAAATGGGATGCACGGATGAGAACAGTGGCACATGCGATCCTGGCCAACACTGAGTGCAGTTGGTGGGTACGAGCACTAGCAATCACTGAGCCTGTCCATGAGCCGGTGCTCGCAGTCGAGCTGCATGAACGATTAGACCGGCGGTGGTTGGCCGCGTGATGTTGGAGAACAAGAAGAGGGCTGCAGAAGGTTGGAAAATATTTATATGAAAGATAATTGGTATTTTGATTACTCTGTAACTATTATGTAACTATTATTATGGAGAAAATTGCAAATTTGATCCCAAAACTTTTGTTGTTTCCCACATTTAGTCCCAGGCACGTCAATTGTGGTCCTTTTTGAATTTTCGTTGCCAAAATGGTCCCACGTCCGTCAATATTAACGGGGCTCGTGTGAGGACGTTAGATTGGACCAATTTTACAATTTTGGGACCAATTTTGCAGTTTTTCAAAAAAAAAAAATGAGCTGTTCAAGTTCTTCAAGTCTCTCTCATTCACTCAAAGCCGAAATGACATAATAAAATTAATTTACTATTAAAAATAATTTTATAAAAATAAGTATCTGGTGGAAAAGTAAAGGCGTTGATAAATTTTAATTTTGGGTGGAAAAGCAAACGATATAATTGCTAATTGTGTGGTATTTATTTTATTTTCTAATATTTTTACCGTCATTACTTAAAAAATATTAGCAATTATTTGAATATTATTTAAATTAAAGAATATTTAAAAATAATATTATTTTAATTAAATAAAGCAAACTAAAAGACATAATCCAAATTATCAAAATAAGAAAAAATGTAAATATGCTTACAAAATACTAATCCGTCTACACTTTTAAATATTAGTATAATGTGATAATTTATATATATCCTTACAAACTTTATTAAATAATACGAATTAAAAAAAAGCCAATCTAAACAATTTTTTTTATTACTTTCTATTTTCATTTTAATAATTTTTTATTTATCAATTTGATTTTGACAACTATAAATTGAAAAATCTATTTATTTATGCAAATTACATCTACATAAAAAATTTCAATTTTAAGCATAATAAAACAAAATTTGGCATTAAATTAAGTGAAAATAAACATTTGCTCACACTTATTTATAGTAAAATATATCATATATTTTTTTTTGCATCTCATTTATCATGAACTAATTAATAAAATTATTTTATACACTTTTTGTTAAGTTACCCAATTAAATAATTATTTTATGTAAAAAATCAAGTTAAACTTTAATTTAAGTTAAAAAAAAATGTGAAAGAATTGTATGTTAGTTATATTTATCTTTTATAATTTATTAAAAAATAAACTAAATGTATTGTTAGGAAATAATGGTAATATAACTTTTTAACATTTACTAAAAATTTTTTTAAAAAAGTGTTTCTAATAAAAATAAATTTAAATGATTTTTATCACTTACTCTTTGAGAAAATTGCAAATTTGGTCCCAAAACTTTTGTTGTTTCCCACATTTGGTCCCAAGCTATAAACGTTGACCGTTAAGTCTTGACGGAGTGGGACCATTTTGGCAACGAAAATTCAAAAAAGACCATAATTGGCGTGCCTGAGACCAAATGTGGGAAAGAACAAAAGTTTTGGGACCAAATTTGCAATTTTCTCTATTATTATGTTACTATAATTAACCTTGTAGGATGAGTTCTTCCCTTATTAAATACATTTATTTAATCCTTTTAATTTTTATTTTATTTTTTCAATTTTTTTTCTATTTTTATCTACCTATTTGAACTGCATGCTGTGGAAGGGCGTTTGCATCGCCGATTTGATCCATATTTGTAACTGCTACGATGGCATGCTTGGTCATAAAAAAAGATGGTATCTGGAAGTAGGAATACAAATACTAATTTAATTAGATTCATTTGCTATCTTAAATTGAATTATTATGTTTATTTAATTGTTTATGTTTGCAGGTTTCCTTATGATGAAGCCGCACATGTGGACTTATCTACAGTAAAAGGAGTAAGAGGAATTTGCAGGGGGCTTCAAATAGGCCACGTTTCTTTTGAACCACTTTTACCAGTTATATTTGAATCTAAAATTTTTGGAACCTTTGTGTGTGTGTGTTTTTTTTTAATATTTTATGGAATGTCTTCTGCGAGGAAATTCGTGTTGGATACTTTTAATTGCAAATGCCATTCTTGTGAGTATTTTTTTAATAACTGAATTTTCGTGAAAAGCTTAAATTAGAACAAATATAACAATATTGACGTATATTGTGGAGCTACATTTTTTCTGGGGAGAAAGAATGCTATTTTATGATCTTTTTTTTTTTTTTCACAAATATGTCAGC